AAATGGGAAACAAAACCTTCGAAAAGAGGTTCTGATTTAAAAACAATGCACATGATTGAAAACTCATTGGATTGTTCTTAAATCTTACTGATAGTCTCAGAAATTTGATAGCAATATCTGTAACATGTCTATCGCTAATATGTTCTTTTTTGTTCAAATATATATTTGCAGCTCTATCAGTTCTGTGTATCCTTTCTTTTCATTGTTCTTTATATCCATTTAGATCACTCCCAAGTACCAAGAGAAAGCCCCTCATCCTTTTTTTAAAAATATCATGTTTGTGTTTTTCCTCTTTCACTCAAATGACTAATTATAAAAATTCAATACTAGATGTCAGCACAGGTTTCCGTAAGCATTTGTAAATGAGGATGCAATAAATAATTTTTCATGATGAAACAAGAGCTATTTATAGGCTTGGAAGGATTAGATTTTTAAATAGTAAATGTTGTTAAACATCAACTTCATCATAAACACACAAACCGAAAAAAACAATTTCCATCGATAATAATCAATTTTACAGATAGTCATAGAAAGAAAAATGTTGCCTGAGAACTTAAGAGTTTGATTTAAGGCAAACATTTTGACATATGATGTTGACAGTTTGTGTTTTAGCAGTTATAAAGCTTTAACTTTTTGAATCCCAACATGTACTGTCATTAAATAAAAACAACGAGGAGTCCTTGTGGCGCCTTAGAGACTAACAAATTTATTTGGGCATAAGCTTTCATGGGCTAAAACCCACTTCATCAGACGCATGGAGTGGAAAATACAGTAAGCAGGCATAAATATATAGCACATGAAAAGATGGAATTTGCCTTATCAAGTGGGGGGATCAGTGCTAACGAGGCCAATTCAATTAGGGTAGATGTGGCCCATTTCCAGCAGTTGACAAGAAGGGGTGAATATCAACAGAGGGAAAATGACTTTTTGTAGTGCTAACAAGGCCAGTTCAATCATGGTAGATGTGACCTGTTCTGAACAGTTGACAAGAAGGTGTGAGTATCAACAGAGGGAAAATTATTTTTTGTAGTGACCCAGCCACTCCCAGTCTTTATTCAGGCCTAATTTGATGGTGTCAAATTTGCAGATTAATTCCAGTTCTGCAGTTTCCCATTGAAATCTGTTTTTGAAGTTTTGTTGTTGAAGAATTGCCACTTTTAAGTCTGTTAAACTTTGTGTTATTGTTGAGAACAAATACATATATAGTTTAGTATGAAGATGCCGTAACTTTCTAAAATCAACATACCAAGAAAAATAGTAATGATGGGGTTGATTTTAATTTGATTGGTTTAGATCAGTGGCTCTCAGCCAGGGATACATGTACCCCTAGGGGTACGCAGAGGTCTTCCAGGGGGTATATCAACTTATCTAGATATTTGCCTACTTTTACAATAGGCTACAGAAAAAGCACTACTGAAGTCAGTACAAACTAAAATTTCATACAGACAATGACTTGTTTATACTGCTCTATATACTATATCAGCGTTTCTCAATCTGGGGGGGTTGAAATTTATTTTATAATCATATGGTAAAAATGAGCAAGTAAGCAATTTTTCAGTAGTAGTGTACTGTGTCATTTTTGTATTTTTATGTCTGATTTTGTAAGCAGATAGCTTTTAAGTGAGGTGGAACTTGGGGTACACAAGACAAATCCACATCTTGAAAGGGGTACAGTAGTCTGGAAAGGCTGAGAACTACTGGTTTAGATAATCATTCTATCTCTGATTTCATCCTTCCTGAACAGGGTAAATTTAGTTTCTGAAAGGACAATGTTATTTCCATTTTTTAAAATAAATATACAGCTTGACTATGTGTAACTTTCAGAGGAAATATTTCTGAGCTGTGACTTTTTTTTTTACCACTTAAATAGTACGTGGTAGTATTATTAGTATAGAGCACACTTACAAAGTTTGTGGACGATACCAAGCTTGGAGGGGTTGCAAGTGTTTTGGAGGATAGGATTAAAATTCAAAATGATCTGGACAAACTGGAGAAATGGTCTGAAGTAAATAGGATGAAATTCAATAAGGACAAATGCAAAGAACTCCACGTAGGAAGGAACAATCAGTTGCACACATACAAAATGGGAAATGACTGCCTAGTAAGGAGTACTGCGGAAAGGGATCTGGAGGTCATAGTGCATCACAAGCTAGATATGAGTCAACAGTGTAACTCTGAGATGCGGGCCCACAGGTTTCTGGGCTACCGGCAGGGAGTACTTTAGGTGAGACTCCTAGTGCAGAATAAGATCCTGTTAAAAGTGTTCAGAAACTTTCAGAAGTTCTACATAAGATCAAACAAGTGGGTAAAAAAACAACAACGAATCAACAAAAAACCCCCACAGGATATATGATTGAATCACCACACTTGGAGAGGAAGTTCATGTGTTTGTGTATTTCCTGCAGAACATTTTTGACAGCAGCATGAGCTGCAGGAGGAGAACTGCATTTGTACTTTCGTCCAATAATAAATGCATGTTAGTTACTTAGGTCCTGCCTGTGTTATTGTTTCAGGAACTCTGCTTGCTTGGGTAACCCATCTATAAGTAGATTGTGAGGTCTTTTGCAATGCTCAACCCACATTTTGGAATACATCTTAAAATGGATAGAAGTGCAGATTAATCTTATTACTTTTGATGGAGACGGAGGCGAAGGAAGGAAGGAAGAGAAGAGCAAGAAATATCCCTACAGCTGATGGTTTTAAAATGAAGGCCGCCAGTGGAAGAAAGTGAGTGAAGAGAATGAGGGAGACCACAGAGAATCTACATTTGCATTTGATGGAGCATAAGGTAATGGATGATGGTGTAAATACTTTGTGGGTTCCGGAAAAACAGCAAAAAATAATCAGGGCCTGGGCAGATGACAGTTTGGAAGTGATGATGCCTTGTAGAAAAATACCCTATGGCAGCACAGAAATACCCTTCTCTGTTGAAAGGACCGTACGCTGCATGAGAGACTGCATTAGGATTTTAAAATATGTCCCTTTCACATGCTAAAATGATGAGAGGTGCAGCTGGACAGCAGGTACTCTGCCTATTAATACTTTAAGTCTTAGCACAACTCTAGCAGGTGTCTAAAGTTGACTCCTTACTCCAATTTTCTTAATTCATGGTTCTCAGTTATTCATTTATAGGACTGATGAATGAAATTGTTTGTAATTGTTTACTTTATTAATGTAACTTCATAAGTAAAGTTTTATGAATGAAACAATATTCATTCATAAAACCGGTTACTCCAATAACTGGCTAATTAACAATTAAGATGCTTGTTAAGAGCCATAGCTGTTCAGTCAGCTGCCTTTGTAAGTTTCACTATCAATCCAATTCCTGCTTAAATCACTGAGACTTGCACTGTTTCAGTATTGTAACTTCTGTTCCCTGTTTGCCATATTGTAATTCAAACCCCATTTTAAAACGCTTACTCCATTTTGTAAGGGCTTGCTGCAACCTTCATTTTTGCAAACCCTGCTGTAATCTTATTAGTTTAGTTTAGATGTGTGAATGAGGTATGTATGGATGATGGAATCAACCTCCAGCCCCAGCCTGTCCTGATTAAATAGAGTTCAAACACCAACGGCTGAAGATGCAGACAAGAGCCCTAACAAAGTAAGCAGAATCCACCCTAAAAAGAAAAGGTACAATAGAAGGAAGATCAAAGCCCGGTCCCAGGCTGAAAATCATGTCTGCAATTGACGGGTGATCAATCACCAAACCTAGAGGCAGCATGACACAGCAAGACCTATAGACTCTGGATTCAAACTAAAGCCTACAAAAAGGATGGGTGAGATGGAAAACTTGGGAGGAGGGTAACGTTCTGCTGCCAACATGGAAGGGCATCGGTGCATGCCGAACAGAGACCCAGCTTGTTCTTGTGCCCAGCTTTCCTGGCTAGTTAGCCGCCACAAGCTACGAACCCAAGCTGCAAACTCAAGTCACAGATTCAAGCAGGACTGGTAACTATGCAGCAGCTGCAGAACATCTGATGGATGTGTGTGTGTGTGTGTATATAGGTATTAGGTATAATGTGTGTGTATAAGGATTAAGTTATTAGTTATTGGTCATAAATCAAATTGTTATTATAATAAACGTGGCATCTTTATCTTGTCCCCTTTAATAAGATCCTGCTAGTTTTTATTGGTATAACACATTCAAAGGTACAAATTTAATACAAAATCTTCAGTGTAAGTCTACAATTTTAGAAATGTCACCAAATAAATTAGATTGAATTTTACAGCAATATATACTTATGTTTTTAAGAATACACTTTTCTGAGATGCAAAAGAGAGAGTTGCCAATCGCACCTGCTGTATCTGCCACTTAATTAGAATAAGCAACTGAAATTTAAGTTGGCATTTCCATGGTGGCATTTTGGAATTCGTAAAGAAAGGAAATGGAGCTATTCCAGCCACAGAGGAGGAGTTTACCATTTTTTTTCCAAAAGGAAAGAACATCAACCCTTGTTGCAGTTTTGCAGGTCTCACAGCTAGACTAAAGCCTCTAGGTATTTGATCTACCCATGACAGATATTTTAACATGTGTAACAACATTTAAGAAAACTTGATAAATGTAGCAATTTTTCTTGTTTTAATTTGTGTCAGAGAAAACCAGAATTTCTGTAGATCTTCTTTACTTGTTTATATAATTTCTGTAAAAGCACTGCCACTGCATTTGCAGCAGGTTAATTAAATACTCTGTCTGGTTGCTTTTAAAATGTTCTTCATGTGTCTACACAGAAAGAAAATGCAAAGTAGAGATGGGAGGTGTAATATTTGGCAGGGTTTGTTTCACTTGAGGTGACTCAAGAAGTGGTTTGTCACTTACATCTCATCAAAGCCTATTTCCTTATTCAAGCGCCATTTCCAAACTTTCAAGTATCAGATGTGTAGCCGTGTTAGTCTGAATCTGTAAAAAGCAACAGAGGGTCCTGTGGCACCTTTAAGACTAACAGAAGTATTGGGAGCATAAGCTTTTGTGGGTAAGAACCTCACTTCTTCAGATGCATCTCAGAAAAGGGTTTTGCTAACAACATAAATATATGTTGCTATAAAATTCAGTCTAATTTATTCTGGTGAAATTTCTAAAAATTGAAACAGGACTGTGCATAGTACAAGCACATATAAAACACGATCCCTGCCCCGAAGAGTTTACAGTCTATGAATACCTGTGTTCTGGCTGATCAAATCAGTATTGAGATTTGAGTTGAGTAGATCAGAGGATCAGGGCTAAATGGCTCAATGGGCACTGCTAAGTAATTTCAAACCATACAGTTTACAGTCAATGACTGTTTCTTATTATTCCCATCCATTTTCTCAGTAACCCACCACGAAGAAATTGATTTTTCCAATCAACAGTCATCAGTACTAGTGCCTAGTGGAATACTGTTTTCCAGGGCTGGTGGTATGAATGACAAAGGCTTTGGGCTTTGACAAGGTGGTAGTTCTTCTGCTGTATTTGCTCTACCCCACTTCTAACACCCAGCACTACTCACCTTTATTTCTTCGCAAGATTTTATTATAATTGCCAAGCAAGAAGCTTAAGGTTATGAAGACAGATCAGTTACATCAGAAAAACCTTATAAGTGTGAAGTAATTATAAGAATATGTAATATTAGGGCCTGAAATTTTTCAGTTAAAGGTAGTGGGCAAAATTAATCTGTGCAATAACTCCTTTAACACAGGATGAAACTGACCTAAAGTTTTAGTAAACTACATAGGTGTGGAAATTCAGAGTTAAGATCCCACAAATGCACAAATGCTGTCCCCATGTTGCAATACTGTCACCATTCCATGACACAGAAAAATATATCTGATAATTATCACAATTACTTATCAATTTTTTTTTCATTAGAGCTGGTTGAAATTTTCAGGCCACAAAGTATTTACACCCTAAGTCATACCCCACAAATCAGTGGGTTTGCGAGAATGAACAAAGCATGCAGCATGTGGTCCTGACACAGCACAGAATATCAGCAGATGTTCAAGTATTTTAAAAAATTGTTACATTATCTATTTTTAAAGTATTTATAATTATGTATAAAATTAAGCAAGAACATACACACAGTATTTAACATTCAGCGTGAGTGCCATATATTGATTGAGAATTCCTAAACTGTTGATAAATAAATAATCTAACTGATAAGAGTGCGTAGGTGTTGCTCTTGAAAGGTGCCATAGTGGTCTTGAAAACTGTCCTACCTACCCACGGAAGAGGCAACAGCAACGCAGGTTCCCTCACTGCTTCCTCAGTTTGCCTGGAGGATATGCTTCCAACTAGTAAGGCATTTCCCCTCCCCCCTACTTCTAGGCAAACCATTAAGAAAACAATCACAGGGCCTCTTATGCACATAAGCAGTCACCTTGAAGCTGATGGGGCTACTTACATTAGTAAGCACAAGTCTGATCTTACAGGTTCAGGGCCTGTGAGTGTATTTGTTAATGTTTGCCTGGCACTACTTAGCCATAATGAATAGTTGGAAGTGTTCCCTCCAGGTTGAGGTTTGGCACATGAATGGAGGAGTGAAGGAGTGAAGGACGCCTGCATTGCCACTGTCTGCGCCATGCTAGTTGTATGGATAGACTGGACAACTTCCAGGATCATTACCCTTAAAAAGCACCAAACTCCCCTTCTCACACATATATATGATAGTTAAAAGACACAGTTAAAAAAATTATACATTAGAAACCAACACCCCTCAAAATACTAAAAAACAAACAAGCCAAGAATTGGCATGGAGTGAAAGGGCAGAGAATGGTAGGGGTGCTGGGTTGACGTATCTTACATGAGCGTTGAAAGTGGCTAAAATGGGAAAAGAAACCTTCCAAAAGAGGTTCCGATTTAAAAACAATGCACATGATTGAAAACTCATTGGGTTGTTCTTAAATCTTACTGATAGTCTCAGAAATTTGATAGCAATATCTGTAACATGTCTATCGCTAATATGTTCTCTTTTGTTCAAATATATATTTGCAGCTCTGTGTATCCTTTCTTTTCATTGTTGTTTATATCCATTTAGATCACTCCCAAGTAACAAGAGAAAGCCCCTCATCTTTTTTTAAAAATATCATGTTTATGTTTTTCCTTTTTCACTCAAATGATTAATTATAAAAATTCAATACTAGATGTTAGGACAGCTTTCCATAAGCATTTGTAAATGAGGATGCAATAAATAATTTTTCATGAAGCAAGAGCTATTTATAGGCTTGGAAGGATTAGATTTTTAATGGTAAATGTTGTTAAACATCAACTTCATCATAAACACACAAACGGAAGAAAAACAATTTCCATCGATAATAATCAATTTTACAGATAGTCATGTAACTTTCAAGAGGAAACATTATACCACTTAAATATTATATGGTAGGATTATTAGTATAGAGCACACTTATAAAGTTTGTAGACAATACCAAGCTCTCGGGCGTTGCAAGTGCTTTGGAGGATAGGATTAAAATTCAAAATGATCTGGACAAACTGGAGAAATGGTCTGAAGTAAATAGGATGAAATGCAATAAGGACAAATGCAAAGTACTCCACTTAGGAAAGAACAATCAGTTGCACACATACAAAATAGGAAATGACTGCCTAGGAACAGGGCCGGCTCCAGGCAGCAACTGAGCAAGCTGGTGCTTGGGGCGGCAGATTGTTCGAGGCGGCATTCTGCCCAATCCTAGGGCAGCACGGCTGCTTTTTTGTTTTGTTTTGTTCCACTCCGGCCACCCTGTAGGTGATGGCGGTGCAGAGAACCAGAGCGCCCTGCAGGGCAGTCCTCTTCCTTCCCTCCCCACCGACCGGAG